ATCCCTAGCAAAGATGCCAGCCTCCTAGGGTATTGTAATTCCATTTAGGGTCTTGGTCTCAGACTGCCTCAGGCCTGGCTGGGTGGGTGGTATTAGTTTGGTGGATTTGTCTGCGTATGCCCTAGGCTGGTCCCAGACTCGCCTGCCCTCCTTGGGGAGATGATTGTTGCAGAGAATCATGTGAACATCATGGAAGGTGAGGTTGTAAGTTTGGGTAATATACTGGAATTCTTTAATAAAGGTGGAAGAATTAGCAGTGTATGACTCCAATCTCTTTTCTATTTGAGAGAGTTCATTTAATGAAGGGACATGTACCCTGAGCAAGCCGTCCACCACAGCAACCTTCTGCAGATGGAGAACTGTGGCAGGTTTAGGCTGGTGAGGGGAAGGTAAAGGTCCCTCAGTGGAGCAGGCGTGAGTAGGGGGAGGACTAAGGGCCGCCAGTGCGCTGAAAGTGGGTGCCTTGGGGTTCATTTGGTGGCCTATCATTGAGAAGGGAAAAAGGGAGACCGAAGAGGCTGGTAAACCAGAAGCTTATGTGTGATTGAAAATAGTGGAAGAATCATCTAGTTTGGACTTTATAGCTAAGAGGAGTTGTTTTTTCTTGGCTGGCTTATGCCATGTGGTCATTCTTTAATCAAGATAGGAGAAAAGTGATATGCCAGAACCCATCCATTCCAACCCTAGCAAAGACGGCTGTCTGCATGCCACGTGCTTGCTTTTATCCTGATGGGGTAACAGTGGCTAATAAGGCAGCAAGCCTCATGTTTCCTTTAGCATTACCTATGTGTAGATTTTTAACTATCAACTCAGTGTTTTATGTTAACCCTCGCTACAGATTTTGCCAGTTTTTAATTATCCCCAATATGCTTACAAATCTTGAGGTAAGATTTATACGTTAGCAAAAGTTTTACAGCATTAAACCAAAACCAAAAAAGTATGAGATAAGTAGCAATAGTCCCCACTAGGAATAGTCTGTTCCTTTGTTTTGTTTTGCTCTCCTTAATCTGTCACATAGTCAGGTGGCTTGCCTGATACTGGACAGAGATTTTGGAGGAAACCATTAAACAAGTATGCTTTGGTGTAGAGGAGGGGGGAGGGAGAGCCATACCCCAACTCCAGAGCCAGCTTTTAATTGAAGTGAGACAGCACAAAACAACAGTCTAAAGCCACTCATCCTTAAAGACACTTGAATCACTGTAAAACTGAATCCAGTAAGCTGAGAACAAAGAAGGCTCAGAGAGGAAAATTTTGAGCCCAGGCCATCAACAGAGGACATTGCAGAAGGGAGCTGAGAGAGGCACCTGCTGGCAAAGAGTGTGTTAGGAGAGGATATGTGTACTGCAACTGGCCTAGTCCTTTGCTTTCTCCCGCCTCCTGCTGGTTCTGGCTTTTGGCTGCCATGTTGCAACAGACTTATGCATCCATCAATGGTAACTTAAAATACAGAACATTTACAGTGTTTACAAAAACAAACAGGGATTGGAGCATAGAAAAGAGAAATATAGACTGGGAATCTCTTTCTGTTTCTCCAGTTGCTTGCAATATTTATAAAGGCCTGAGTAATATTAGGATCTAGGGTGTCATTAGGCATCCTATTGATTATCTAAGGGGTATTGTGGTCAAATTTGACTGCAGAAGTGAATAAATTTAGGGCCCTTCAGGTCAGGTGTCAGCTGGGGAGGCTGGAGGTGTTTCTAAGCCACTTCCCAAGGGGGAATGGGAGGGTATAGGAGGAGACATTGTTCCCATGGGTGAGAGAGGGGAAGGAAAACTCCATTGCCTGTAATTACAGGTGTCGCCAGACTCAGGGAGGACCATACAAGGAATAATCCCTTCAGTGGGCCGTCACCACACTCAAGGGGTTAGGAGCTTAGCTTGGCTAAGTCAGAGGAGAGAATCAGTGCTTGGTACCAGGGCTTTCATAGAGGCCAGAGGTGAGGATGAAAACCAAGCTCTAGGAGGGTGTTCTTATCCACAGGAAAGGGTTGGGGAACATTCACAAAAGCCATGAGGGGCTGTGAGATTACAGGCAGCTCCAAAGGGAAGCAGGAGAAAAGGGCAGGAGGGGGTGCAAAATAGCCGGGTTGGGCCTAAAGAAATTTAGGATTGTAGCTCCAAGGATGGGCGATGGGACCAGGTGAAAAGGGCCAGCCATAGCTTTAAGGGTTTTGGCTGGGGATACCTCCACATCCAAGAATATCAGAGGTGCCAGATGCTCAACAGTCACTTGCTTGGATGGTTACGCTGGCCAAAGGGGAAATTACCTCATCACTGTCGGTGGATGGGGTGCCAAGCAGTCAGTGAGCTGGAAAGTGAGGGATAGGATCCCATAGCAACTCTGACCCCACCCCATACCCACAACCCTAGGAGGAACTCAGGCACCAGGAGAGCTGTCTGAGTGCTGGAATCAGTGTAAACGTTACAGCTCAGATGGAAAGGTACCCTGGCAGTTGGGGGCCGAGGAATGCCACAGCGTCACACTGCACAGCAAACCTCACTAAAGAGATTTATTGGGGGAGAGGGGGGAGAGGAACCCAAGAGAGTGGCTGCCTCTGCTCCGGTGAGCAGCGGCAGAGAACTGAGCAGAACACAGGGTTTATATAGAATTTCTTGGGAAAGGGGTGGTGGTGGAGCCTTCCAGGGTGGGGATTGGTGGGATTTCAAGTCCTGAGCTTGGGCTTTTTATTCTGTAGGGCGGGGTCTGGGTCCGGCCCTGAGGGGAGTTAGAGTGTTCCTTGGGTGGGACCTGGTGGTTGGTCCTCAGGGGAGGGCTCTGACCAGCCATGTGCCTAGAGAGGCTTACAGCTGTTTCCTGCCTTTTCTAAGAATTGTCTCCTGCTTACCTATGGCTAGAATAAACAACTTGGTAGCACACTCTCAAGGTTTGAACCTGTGATGGCTAAGTGGAGCTGAACTACGTTTTATATTTGTTTCTTCACGGACATTTCCCCACCCATCTTAAGACTTTAAGGGGCCCCTCATCCCAGCCCCATGAATGGTGGTATAAGCCTTTAATCCCAGCACTCAGGAAGCAGAGGCAAGTGATATCTCTTAGTTCCAGGCCAGCCTAATCTACAAAGGGAATCTAGGACAGCCAGGGCTGTTACACAGAAAGAAACTCTGCCTCAAAAACCAAAAAGAAATAAAAGAATGAAAAAAAAAAAACCAAAGTAATAAAGTTAAAAAACAAAAGCTCTGGTATGACATTTTAAAAAATTATTTATTTTCATTTTTATGAAAATTGGTGTTTGCCTGCATGTATGTCTATGTGAGAGTGTTAGATCTTGGAGTTATAGAGAGCTGTGAACCAACATGTGGGTACTGGGATTTGAACCTGGGTCCTCTGGAAGAGCAGTCGGTGCTCTTAACTGCTGAACTATCTCTCATGCCCCCCTGATTTGACATTTAAAGACAAGGGACCTCCAAAGATGCTGTTGAGTTCAGTAAACGAGCTTTTTTTTTTTTTTTTAAATATTTATTTATTATTTATACAACATTCTGCCTGCATGCCAAATCTTACTATAGATGGTTATGAGCCACCATGTGGTTTCTGGGAATTGAACTCAGGACCTTTGGAAGAACAATGAGTGTTCTTAACCTCTGAGCCATCTTTCCAGCCCAGTAAGCGAGCTTTTAAAAACAGCTGTGAGTGTTGGGAAGAGGAATATGCCAGGAACCTGCAGAAATTATGGAAAAAAGTTTCAAAAGTGATTTGTAGGCCCGGCTGTTATGACTGACTTCCATAGCCTTCTTGTCCTCAGCAGCAGCACTCACCTTTGTTTTTGTTTTTGTTTTTGTTTTGTTTTGTTTTGCTTTTGAGACAGGGTCTCAATATGTAGTAGCCCTGGCTGGCCTGTGTGGACCAGATTGGCCTCAAACTTCGCAGAGATCCTGCCTCCGCCTCACAGTGGATTAAAAGTACTCACTACCCTGTCTTTCTTTCTTTTTTCTTTTTCTTTTTCTTTTGAGCAGGTGTTTTCTTTGTTAATATTTCTTTGGTCTCTTGCTATGGTTATAATTGTCCTTTCCAGATTTCAATTAAATTAGCATCTGTGTTCCTATTAAGTAGTGGTTTGCTTTATTACTGTAACATTTATAAATGAAATGTTATTACCACTTTTTTAGTAATAAAAACATTTTTAGGACTAGGTATGAGAGCACATAGCTGTAATCCCAGCTTTTGGCAGGATAAGCCAGGAGAATTAGGAAATTAAGGCCAAAGTGATTTATGTTTAATAAAAACAAAATGTGGGGCCTTGCTGTTGCCAGGTATGGTGGCACACGCCTTTAATCCTAACACTCTGGAGGCAAAGGCAGGCAGATCTCTGTGAGTTTAAGGCCAAGCTGGTCTGCATAGTGAGACCCAGGACATCCAGGGCTACACAGAGAAACCCTGTCTTATTTAAAAGAATCAAAAAGAAAAATAAAAAAGTAGTGCTGGTTCTCTGGACTTGGGCTCAATCTGTGGAACCTGTGCCGTAGCACCTGTCCATACACACAGGTAAGAGGGACTGAAGAGTCTCTTACTTAGTCTAAACAATTCAAAACTGTTGACAATAGCTTTAATTTTCATTAAGTTTGTATATGAGGTGTGTGGGTGTACACATGCCATGACACATGTATGGCGGTCAGAGGACCGATTTGTAGACTTACTTCTCTGTTCCCACCTTTTCATCGTCCTGGGGCTCAAGTTGTCTGGCTTCTGTGGCTCATCTATTGTCACCTCACCTGCTCCCCAAAATTGTAGTTTTTGATTCCCTCACAGTGTATCAAGTTTTCAACTTTCCCTTAATATCTGTAATAGTTGAAATCTTCAGTGTGATTCTTAGTCTTGTTCAGTGTATGTCATACTGAACTTGTGAGCTGACGATCAGTGTGCCAATTTCCATGCTTTGGTATTTTACCTGAGAAGGTAAGGGCAGTGTGGCGATGACTGGACAGAGATACCAGCCCAGCAGCCTCACACGCAACTTTCTCACGTTCTCCCATCTCCTTAGGCTTTTCCATGATCGGAGACTACTGCAGAAGGTCTTTGGAGAATGGAAAGAAGAATGGTGGGTCTCCCAGAGAGAATGGAAGCTCAGCGTCCGAGCAGACTGTCACTACAGGTCGGGTTCTGTGTCTCATTATGTTGTGCTTGTTGAAATACGGATTTCACCCTGTATCAAACAATTACTCAGTGTCTCATTTCTGTTCCCAAGGAGCAAAGTTTTGGATTGCTTTCTAGTGTTTTGTAGTCCTTCAGAGAGTAAGTAGATCCTTTGTGGTTCTGTCTGTTCATGCTTGTATGCATGCTCGTCTGATTCAGAAAGCTGTTGGCCATGCTGAAGACTTGAGAGCTTCACTCATGGATTCCATACATTTCTAAATCCCAGACTTCTGTTTTGTAAAATAATTAGTTCTAGCACACTGATTATGACCAACAAAGGGTGTGTCCCATATAGGCCATTTGGAAAATAGAGAGGCTGGGTCAGGTAACTGAATGGGAGAGCAAGTGTTAGCCTGCAAGGTTTAATCCTCAGCACCAAAACACTGTTAAAAAACAAAGAAAAGGGGGCTGGAAGGATGGCTCAGTGGTTAAGAGCACTGACTGCTTTTTTAAAGGACCCAGGGTTCAACTCCCAGCACCCACGTGGCAGTTCTTCTGTCTGTAACTCCTGTTCCAAGGGATCTTGACACTCTCACACAGACATACATGTAGGCAAAACATCAATGTATATAGAATGCAAATAAATAAATTATTTAAAATGAAACAAAGGAAAGGGGGAAATTAGTGCTCACAATTTTATATGGCCTTAAAATTATTGTTGTTGTTGTTTTCAAGACAGGATTTCTCTGTGTATCCTTGACTGTCCTGGACTTTTTTGTAGATCAGGCTGGCCCCAAATTCACAGAGAGCTGCCTGGACACTGCGTCCCAGACTGCTGGGATCACAGTTGTTCCCTGCCACGCCTTACAAAATTCTTCAAAGGCACATTTTTACACATTAATTAAAAAGCAAAACAAAATCATACACACCTGTTTGTAAGACGACGATACTCCCGTTGAAGACACTTTAGGTTCTTTGACTGGAGTTCTGATTTAGTTCAGATTAAAAAAGAGACAGGTTTGTGAATTTGGAAAGCAAAGTTGCCTTGGAGCACTGAAGCTCCTTCAGTCATATGCTGCTGTGTGGAGAGTGACTTCTCCAAGGAGAGATCATAGTTGTAGAAAATGAGTTTAGCTGAGGGCTTACAGGGCTTGGTTGAGTCAGGATCATCGTTGCCTTAAGTGCAGAACATAAAACTAAGATTACTTACCAGTTAAATACAGAAACAGTGTGTCTGTTAAACTAAGAAGGGTGGATGAGAGGAAGGAACTGGAACACAGAGGAAGGAACACTGTGGAGAAGAGGGAAGGTGGCAGCTTAAGCCATTTTCTCCATATGGGGGCTTTGCCTGCATTTATGTTCATGCCCCACGAAAATGAAATACCTCCAGAAGAGGGCGTCAGATCCCCTGGAAATGGAGTAACAGGTCGTTGTGAGCTGCCGTGTGGGTGCTGGGAACCTAACCCAGGTCCTCTGGAAAAGCAACTAATTGCTCTTAAACATCTCTCTATCCCCAGTTTTGTTTGTTTGTTAAGATGGTTCTTCTATCAAGGTTCAGAACAGACCATTACTTCCCGCAGGATTTTCTTGTGCTAATCCCGGGTAGCACCCACACTCCAAACAACCCTAATGTCTACTAATTTGTTCTCTACCAAGCACAGGTTTTCCCCTTCTAAGTTTCTAAGTGCAGGTGTGCCGGGTGCAGTTACCCTGTCTCACTGTAAGTACCGTTTGCGTTTGGCCCCTCAGGTACTACTTGTATAACCTGATGTTCCAGAACTGGAAGGCCTTTGTGCAGCAGCGACGGGAGATGAGGAAGGCATACCACAGAGCCGAACTTCACGGTGAGAGAGGGGAGAGTATGTCTGAAGAGGCCTTGACTGGCCCTCCCGGGAGTTCTGAGAAAGAGAGCCATGTGTGTGGAAGAGAAGACTTGATTTCCTTTCTTGTTCGCAGAGTGTGATCTAGTTGAACCTGTCTGATCAGATGCTGTCTCCATGTGGGGTCTCGTGGACTTTTGAAGCTCAGTAGGCAGGGTGTGTGAGCTGACTGGACCTGGCCTGCTGGTTTGCCTTAAACTCAACGTGGCACATCCGCTCCCCCACAGTGTAGAGCTTGTACTTCCTCCCTTCCCTGTGTAGGTAACAAGCCTTGCTTAGGTTGGTTTCGGTCCTCATGCTTCAGCAGAATTTATCTAGTTTTCTGCTGAAGGAATCACCTGTGCTCGTCTTTTCTTTGCTGTGCCCTGACAGCAATCCTCACATTCCTCTTGCGTTGGTAGTTTTCTGTCAACTCTTCGAGTTTACTCCCTCTGTGTTTCTTGTACACATAGCTTTGAGAGTGGTTGGGCAAAGATTAGCCCTCACCACTCTTGAAGTTCACTTGGCCACTTGCCTCCTTTTTTTGTTTGTTTTTTGTTTTTGTTTTTCAAGACAGGGTTTCTCTGTGTAGTCTTGGCTGTTCTAGGCTCACTTTCTAGACAAGGCTAGCCTCAAACTCAAAAAGATACACCTGCCCCTGCCTCCCAAGTGATGGGATTACAGCCAGCTTTCAGTTGGCTCCTCTTAATGAATGACTCAAGATGCCTTGGTGAGACCTACCTGTTCTCTTCTCCGCTGCCTCTGCCCACACTGAATACGCACATCTTCTCTCTCCTCAAGATCCAAAAGATGCAGGCCCATTTTCATGTTGTTGTTTTGGTTTTCAAGACAAGCTTTCTCTTTGTAGCTTTGGCTGTCCTAGACTTGCTTTGTAGATCAGGCTGGCCTGGAATTCACAGAGATCCACCTGCACCTCTACGTCCCCGAGTGCTGGGATCAAAGGCGTGTGCTCAGCGTATTTTCACTGATTAATTGATTTTACCTCATGTGGCTGGATGTTTTACTTGTTTGTGTGTGAGAGCCACGTGCATGCATTGCCTGCAGCGGCCAGTAGAGGACATGAGATCCCCTGGAGCTGGACTTTCAATGGGTTGTAAGCTGGGACTTGAACCTTGGTCCCTTGGAAGAGCAATGAATGCTCTTGACCATCTCTCCAACTTTGATTCAGGTCCATTTTAAGTATTACCTTCCTACCCAAGTGTGTTGATACATGCCTGTAATCTCAGTACTCAAGAGGCTGAAGAAAGTGGTAAGTTTGAAACCAGCTGGGGCAACATAGAAAGTTCTAGTCTAGCCTCAGGTAGGTCTCAGAAATAACTAAATAAGTGTCAAATGTTACCTTTCTTGTCTAGCTTTCTCTCCTCTCCCCAGCATAGTGGGTTCTTTGCTGTCTGTATTTCCAAGGTGTGAAGAGCTCTTACGTAGTTATCTTAGTTTAACGCTAGACATGCTGATTCCATGTCTAATTGGGAATCAACTGAGTGTTTTCTCCTCCTGCTCTCCTTCTCCTCTTCCTCTTCCTCTTTTGGTTGTTATTTCTAATTCTTTTTTTTTTTAAGTTTTATTTATTATATATATAGTGTTCTGTCCGCATGTATGCCTGCAGGCCAGAAGACACCAGATCTCATTATAGATGGCTGTGAGCCACCATGTGGTTGCTGGGAATTGAACTCAGGATCTCTGGAAAAGCAACCAGTGTTTTTAACCTCTGAGCCACCTTTCCAGCCCCCTATTTCTAGTTCTTATATGCTAAGAATTACTCTTTTTGGTGTACAATTCTATTATTTTGGCAAACGCAGAGTTGTTTTTGCATACAAAACTACAAATTGCTATCTGAAAACTGGGGCGGCTGTGCTGCTATGCGCCTGCAATCAGGCGCTGATTAGCTGATCAGCACTGAGAAGCTGAGGGAGCAAGCAGGTGGGTGGCTTCAGATGCACGGTGGGCTCCTGTTTCAAAAACAAAACAAGCTGGCCACACACACCTTTAATATCAGCACTCAGGAGGCAGGTGGATCTGTGCGCAGTCAAAGACCAGCCTCATTTACGTAGTGAGCTCCAGGACAGCCAAGGCTACACAGTGAGACCCTGTTTCAAAAAAAGAAAAACAAGAACAACCCCCCCCAAAAGAAAAACCCCAAAGAAGTAAAAACCTCCTATAAAATAATATTATATATCTTATTAATTTTATTAATACATAATCTATTCTGTTAATGAATAATATATATTCTTATATATATTAAAAGGAGGTTTGAGAGCGTGGCTTACAGGCTGTGCTAGAAGTAACCAACAATGGCTGTCTCTTGATGGAAAGGACAAGGATCTGGTAGTTGTTCTGTCCACAGGATTGGATGTCTCAGTAGTCCGAATCTGGGGCTAGATGCTACTGAGTCCCACCCAAGTATTTTTAAAATATATATGATAGGTTATATATTATGTATATTATAAAAGTATATATATTTTAAGGCAAGCAAAGTGCTAGAGTAATCTTAGCTCCTTGGAAGGCTGGGGCAGAGGTCAGTTGAACTCAAGGATTCAAGACAAATCTGGGCCACAATGAAAGACTCCCTTCTCAAACAAAGGTGTGTGTTCATACTTCCCTGTGTGAATGTCTTTTGTGGTTCTGAGCCTTTTGTTAAAGTTATGATTTGCAGGTGTTTTCTCCTAGTCTGTGGTTCGTCTTTGTATTGTTTTTTAACTTTGATGTTAAATTGATCCATTTTTATTTTTGTATTATATTATTAACATCATACCTTAACTGCCAAGATGACAAAGATTTTCTTCTGTGCTTCTGAAAGGTTGTAGTTTCATACATAAGCCTTGCGTAGCTTGCAACCTTGCTAAGTTCATGTTTGTTCTAGGCACTTTTCTGTAGTTTGTTTTTTTGTTTGTTTGTTAGTTTCTGTGTGTTTGGTTTTGGTTTTTAGAGGCAAGGTTTCTGTGCGTAATAGCGCTGGTTGTCCTGGAACTCACTCTGGCCTTGAACTCACAAAAAAGTTTTTATTTTTATGTATGTGACTGTTTTGTTCACATGTATTTATGTGCAGTGCCTGCACAGCCAAGAAGAGGGTGTTCAGATTCCCCGGACAGGTGGTTGTGAGCCACCATGTAGGTGTTGGGAACTGATCCTGAGTCCCCTGCAATGGCAGCCAGAGTGTTTAACCGCTGAGCAGCCTTTCAGGCCTCTGTCTTGGTTCTTCTGTGGATACTCAGACCCACTGTGAGGCAAGACAGTTGACTTTTCCTTTCTTGGCCTCCTCAGCACTGGATCCAAGCGCCTGCTGCCCCACCCAGCCTCTCAGGCGGGTTCTGAGGGACCAAATTCAGATGCTCATGCCTGTGCAGCGGGCAGCTCCCCAGCCACCCTCCTCCCCTTTTATGTTAACACAGGGTTTTAGGAAGTTGCTCAGGCTAGCTTCAATTTTTTGTGATCCGCCTACTTGAGTCTCCTGAATGAGCTGACATTATTGCTTTGGTAAACGTTCAGTAAAATCAATCTCTGATTAAGTCCTCTATATGTGGATTCTTCTTGATGAAGTGTTTTTAGCTTGAATTTAAGCTTCAGTAGCTGTAAGATGATTTGTTCCCTCTTTAGTGAACTTCCAAGAAATTGGCTCATTTTAATATGGTATCAGATTTATGAGGTGATAGTTTTGCATTATTGTAGTATGCAGACTCTATAGTCATAAAGTCACAATCCTCTTGATTTTACTTCCAAAGACCAGACGTTGCTGTACAGTCCCAGTTGATGTGAGTGCTGAGGTCATGGGCACATAACCCTGAGAACCCTCCTTCCTTCTGAGAATGATCATTTGTGCCTGCTGCCTTTCTTCTTGTCAGTCTGCCTAGAGCATCACCTGTTTTGTTGATGTTTCCAACTGTCCTAGTGTCTTTCTTTGGTGTGATAAAATGCTGACCAAAACCATCCTAGGGAGGCTTTTGTTAAGGAAGCCAAAGCAGGAGCTTCAGGCAGGAACAGAAATAGAGACCATGGAGGAAATCTGCTCTCTGGCTTGTTCCACTTGACGATGGATTGTGTCTGGTAAGGTGAAGTAAACCTTTTCCGTCTCAGGTTGGCTTGGGTCATTATTTTATCACAGCCGTAGAAGGTAAGCAAGTAAGATAACTGGCATTTGTGTCCATGTGTTCTCTGTCGCTCCTGTTTCCAGTGTCTTGATTGTATATTCCCTTCATTACTTTGAACTTCCTTCTGCAAGCTTTGGTTTTGATTAGGTCTTCTCTTTCTAGGTTTTTTGTTTTGTTTTTGCGATAAGATCTCACTATATAAAGTTATGGCTGTCCTAGAACACACACACCTGTTTTAACCACTTAGCCATCTCTCCATCCTATTTTTAGATTTAAATATATAAATGTTATTTTTAATAATAGGCTCATCTTAAACTCACAGAGATATAGCTGTCTCTTCCTCTTGACTGGTGTGATTAAAAACCTGTACCACCATGCCTTTTTGTAAATTAAAAAGAAATGCTTTGTTTATATGTGTATGTATGTTTGTGCATATATGTGAGTGCCCATGGAGACCAGAAGATGTTGTTCATTTACCTGGAACGGGGTTATAGTTGTAAGCTCTTCAGAGTGGGTACTAGGAACCAAACTTGGGTCTTCTGGAAGGACAGTGCTTGGTTCTTTAACCCCAGCATGTGGGAAGCAGAGGTAGGAGAATCTCTGTGAGTTCAAGGCCAGCCTGGTCCACATAAACAATGTCTTAAAAATACCAAAAAGGGATGGGGAGCGCACCACTCTTAACCACTTAGCCATCTCTCCATCTTGTTTCTAGATTTTTAAAATATATATATTTATTTATTATTATTTTTAATAATGTTTAGTGCGCCAGGTGGTGGTGGTGCATGCCTTTAATCCCAGTACTTGGGAGGCAGAGGAAGTAGATCTCTGAGTTTGCTGATCTGATCTACAGAGTGAGTTCCAAAATAGCCAGGGCTACACAGAGAAACCCTGTTTCAATGCTCCCACTCCCCAAAAAAATAAAAGAAAAAAAAAAAAAGAAAGAAAGAAAAAGACAAGGTCTTCTATGTAACCTACACTGGCCTTGAACTTTTTAAAATATATTTCTTTTAGCCAGGCTCAAGTGCACACCTGTAATCCCAGCACTCTGGGAGGCAGAGGCAGGCGGATCACTCTTAAGTTTGAGGCCAGCCTGGTCTACAAATTGAGTCCAGGACAGCCAAGGCTCACACACACACACACATACACACACACACACACAGTACTATTTTTAAACAGAGTTGACACCCTGGCTCAAAAAAAAAAAAAAAAAAAAAAAGCATTTTTTTGAGTGATGTCATAGGACATACTGCTCTTTATGTATGAGTGTTTTGCCTTCCCATGTATATGTACAACAAGTGTGGCTTACACAGAGGTCAGACGAGAGTACTGATCCCCTTGAACTGGAGTTATAGACTGTTGTAAGCTACCCTGTGGGTGCTGGGAACTGAATCGGATCCTCTGCAGTAATAGCCATTGTGCTTAACTGCTGAGCTGCCTTAAACTCTTGATTTCTTTGCTTCAGTATCTTTCAGTTAAGGATTTCTAGTGTGTTCCATTATGGTCACAGGATACTATTTAGTATGATTTTGGTTCTTTTAATATTTTAATTTTTATTTTGTGGCATAAATTCTTTTTTGTTTGGTTAGTTGGTTTGTTTAGTTTTGGTTTTTGGCAACAGGGTTTCTCTGTGTAGTGTTGGCTGCCCTTGAACTCACTCTGTAGACCAGGCTGGCTTTGAACTCACAGAGATCCGACTTCTGCCTTTGCCTCCCTGATTGCTGGGATTAAAGGGGTGTTTTATATTGTAAGTGATATGCATACTCTTGATCATGTGACTCCTGCTGCCTTCCTTGTTATTTGTAGTTATAATGGATATAGCTGAATGTTCTGTAGTGGAAAGGGAAAGCCAGTTGAGTTTTTGAAGATGAAAAGTTGTTCCATGGTTGGGAAAATGGGTGTCAGTAAAGTGCTCTGCGAGGAAACCATAAGTTTGGATCCTTAGAACCCATACACAAAGCAGGCGTGCCTCCTCTCATGGCGTTGGAAGTAGAGGCAAGAGGATTCCTGTGGCTCTTTGGTTTACTAGTCTAATTTAATTGGTGAGCTCCAAGTTCACTGAGAGGCCCTGACTTGAAAAGTAAGGCCAGACAGACCTAGTAGTGTGTACACCTTTAATCCCAGCACTTTGGGAGACAGAGGTAAGTGTATTTCTGTGAGTTTGAGGGTAGCCTGGTCTTCAGAGGGAGTTCCAAATCATGCCGGCTACATAGAGACCTGGTCTCAAAAAAAACAAAACAAAGCAAAAAAACCCAAAAGGTGGAGAGGCAGGGGTGCAGCACAGGGGACAGAGTGCAGTTTGCCTTTAAATGCTGGTAAGCACCACAGCTGTCCTTTGTGCTGTCTTGAATCCTTGTTAATTTTCTAACACTACTCAGTGTTTCCAGCAGAGGGCACTGGGAGGCTGGACAAGAGATGAGTACTGAAAGTCCTTAAGCTGTTATCATAACCCAAAGTAATATCTCCCTCCCCACCCTTTAGATGCTTTCTTACATTTGTTTGTTTGTTTAATGTGTGGGGGCTCCTGTATACCATGGTGCTCACGTGAGGTCAGAAGAAACCTGCAGGAGTCAGTTCTCACCTTCTTCTGTGTGGGCTCCAGGGGTTAAATTCTGCCATCAGGCTTGCCAGCAAGTACTTTTAATCAGAGTCAGCTCACTGGCCCTCTCCACCCTTTTTATTTTTCAGATTTTACTTTTAATCATGTTCATGTGTTTATACCAGGGTGTAGAAACATGCAGGTGCCTTCAGAGGCCAGAAGAAAGGCATCAGGTCCATCCTGGAGCTGCAGTCATAGGCGGTTGTGAGCTGCCCAGCTGGGCGCTGGGAACTGAACTGAACCTCTGCAAGAGTAGTGGATGCTCTTAATTGCTGAGCCATCTCTCCAGTCCAGTTTCCACCTTTTAAAAACATATCCCTTTGATGTCTCTAGATTCAAAGCAGAAGATGCGCCAAGCCTGGAAGTCCTGGTTGATATACATGGTTGCTCGAAGGACCAAACTTCACATGCAGACTACTGCTCTAGAGTTTAGGCGGCGGAGTGTCATACGGTGAGTGCATGGGGCAGGACAGGGCAGCAAACATCGTTTCACCACGAGATTGATATGATTCTTTAATCTCACCACAATGCTTAGAATACAGGTGATACCTAGAAATACCCATTGATAACATCCAGCTGTAATACTGAATTGTTATAGCAACGTGATTAATTCTGATTAAATGCTTACAGTGTCCTAGGCCTATGTTAACTTTGTGTGTATAATTTTTGGTGGCAGGGGTGTGAGCTGGCTAGTTTTATGTCAACTTGAAACAAACTAGAGTTATCTGAAAGGAGGGAGCCTTAATTGAGAAAACACTTCCAAAAGATTGGGCTGTAGGCCTGTAGGGCATTTTCTTAATTAGTGATTGATGGGGGAGCGCCCAGCCCATTGTGGGTGGTGCCATTCCTGGGCTGGTGATCCTTGGTTCCATAAGAAAGCAGGCCGAGCCAGCCATGGCGAGCAAGCCAGTAAGCAGCACCCCTCCATGGCCTCTGCATCAACTTTTGCCTCCATTTTTCTTCTCTATTTGAGTTTCTGTCCTGACTTCCTCCAGTGATCATCAGTGATGTTAAAGTGTAAGCCAAATAAACCCTTTCCTCCCCAAGTTGCTTTGGTCACAGCATTAAAATTCTAATTAGGACAGGGTGGTACAGGGGCGTGAACTTAGGGTCAGTCACATGGTTGATAAATTCTGCACCACTGAACCATGCCCCTAGCTGCCCAACCCCCTTGTAGACCACACTGGCCTTGAACTCACAGAGATCTGCCTGCCTCTCAGAGTGCTGGGATAAAAGGCCTTTGCCACCGGGACCAGCTCCTTATCTGTCTTTTTACTTTTTATTTTGAGTAGTCTGGCTTTGAATTCTCTCCATAGCCCAAGCTAGTTAGTGCTAGGCCTTCAACCTTCATGACTCAGCCAAATAGTTGGGATCACAGATCTACACCAACAGGTGGGGCTGTGTATGCATTATAAAGTATTTTATTTAATCCTTGGCATAAATCTCTAAGTACATTCCTACATCCATCATCATGTACAGTAAGTCTCAGGAAAGGTGAAGGACTTATCTGAAGTTTTGTAAATTGTCATGGGGGGGGGAGGGAAGAAGATAGGAGGGCAGGACCAGGAGGAGAGGAGGGAGGGGCCTCCGACAGGGATGTAAAGCGAATAAGCAAACAGACAACAATAAGACAAATAAACGAGCGAAGGGAAAAAGGGGTCTCATTCTCTGCTGCAACCACTGCCCTGCACGCCGGCTCAGCAGCGCTGCACATGCGCTGTTTTGACTCTCCACACATGCAAAAAGCTGCTTTATAACTGGTTTGGGCTTTGCCCCTTGTGGGTCTCTGGGTCCTGAGTGTCAGGACTGTGAAAGCAGCTGAGGAGAGATGGCTGCTGAGCACAGCCTGCTGGCTTTACAGCTGTCCTTACTTGGATCTGAGTCCTTGCCTCAACATGTGTTTCTTTCTTAGTTAGCGTTTGTTTCTTTTAATGGGTAGAGATTGCTGGCTTAGTCCCTCTCCCATAACTTTTTTAAAATGTCTGTTTTTATATTATGTGTATGGGGGTTTTGCCTGCATGTATGTTTGTGTACCAACTCAGGTTGTCAGACTTGGTGGCAAGCACATTAACCCGCTAAACCATCTCTTTGTCCCTAGGATCGCATCTCGATTTTTTTTTTAATGCGCAGCAATAGCAGTCTGGCAGGTGTCAGTAAAGAGATGGCACTGTGAGGGAGAGAGACTTGGGCTAAAGTTCGGAAGCACAGCTTTAATTTAATGGTTCCCTTTTCTGGTGAAAAGGGAGCCTGCGCCTCTCCCTTCCCTCCCTGACCCGCCCCCTATTCCATCCCTGATTTGCTCTTTCAGTTTCTGGTGGAGCAAGTGGAGGTGGCGACTAGGACAAGCCCACGCGGAGCACGTTCTGCACGAGGCAGCTGTGACGCACAGGGCCCTGAGCCTCCAGTGGCAGGTTTGTCTGGCATATTCAGCCTTTGGTGTTCTAGGGCGTCTTCTCACTGCTGCTGCTTGTCAGGAGGGCAGCTCTGGGGAGACGGCTTTGAAGAGCAGCATGGGAGGAGGCTGCAGCAGACGGCACTGCTGTTGGGAATATGTACGCACTTGCTCTCTGTGAGACTTCCGTGCAGAGCTGAGTTTGCTTACTTTGTTATAAGCTGTCAGAAGTATGTTCTTACCTCCTCATTGCTCTTCTGTGGCAGACTAGAAAACCAAGACTGGGAAGAAAACCTTGCTACTTTTCTCCCACAGGCTGTTTGGTTTTTGGTTTTTGATACAGAGTCTCACGTAGTCTGGGCTGGCCTTGAACTTGCTATGTGGTGGAGGATGACCTTGGTCTTCAAATCCTCTTGCCTCACCTTCCAAGTGCTAGGACCATGCTCATCACTGAAACTCACCACTCAGTGCAGTGAATATATTAATAAACACACTCAGACTCTGAAGTCACCTGCACACACTGGACATACACACATGTAATCACAGAATGGAAAGGACTGTCCTGAAGGCTGGAAAGATGAGTCAGTGGGTGAGGGCACATGCTTCCCAGAGTCCACAGTGAGTAGGTGAGTAGCTCACAGCTGCCTCTAGCTCCAGCTCCCGGGTACCTGCTGGTCTCCTCGGGCGCCTGGCCTCAGGTGCATATACATGCACACAGACAGACACATGTACATAATTAAAACTAGAATAAATTCTAAAAAAAAAAAAAAAGAGTTAAGAAAGAAAACTCCAAGTGAGATTTTGGCATGAAGGTAGTTGGAGTGTGTGTGTTTATGATTTATTTTTGTATAAGTTTTTTTGTTTTTTGTTTTTTGTTTTTTCCCTGAGGCAGGGATTCTCTGTGTAGCCCTGGCTATCCTGGACTCACTTTGTAGAGCAGGCTGTCCTTGCCTCCTGAGTGCTGGGATTACAGGTGCACCACTGCACCTGGCTCATGTATATAAATTTTTTTTCCTTCATGTTTGTATGTGCACCACGTGTGTGCCTGGTGACCATGGAGGGCAGAAGAGGATATCAAATCACCTGCAGCTGGGGTTCTGGGAATCAAACCAGAACCCCAATCCTCTAAAGAGCTTTCAGGGCTCTTGGCCAATGAGCCATCTGTCCAGCCTCAGATTCTGTTTGAATGTGACTGATAGACAGGATTATGCTCATGGAGAGATTAAATGTGACTTCAGAAAAGGAATCCTTTGGTGACTCCAGGCCTAGGCTGAGCAGCTGCAACGGTGGAGTTGCCTTTTACGGAGATGGGACCATGAAGGAGAAGCAGCCTTGTGGGGAAGGATGGGAGGAGAGGTGTACTCTTCACCTAGTGCTCAGCCTGATACTCCGAGCCACAGAGAAGTGCAGATGCTAAGGAAGCATCTGAAATACTCAGGAAGGGTCCAGGCAGGACCCCGTCCTCTGAGTCCTTGTCAGAAGAAGGCTTTTAAAGCCAGACAATTAAGTGAATGAGTGGAGTGTCAGGAGGGGTTGTGGCACAGGCCTTGTGAAGTCGGTGCAAGAACAGGTATCCAGCAGAGAAGGTGCTGTCTGCTGGGTCACACTCAGTTCTGCTGGGTCAGGCAGGGTGAAGGCAGTCTTGACCTTTGGGCTGAGCCACGTGGAAATGGTTGATAGACTTGATTGATAAGCACAATTTCCGTGAGCTCATGGGAATATTTTCAAAAAAGCCTCCTAGGGAGAAGTTACCAACATGTGTATCTTGAGTTTGGGAAGGAAAGAGCTAGTGTCAGCCGGATGGCACAGTGTGCTAGAGGGTGAACCCCTGCTTCGGGGTTGAAAAGAGTGGGTGATCTATACTCTTCACCCTCTTTAACCCTGTTTAAAGGGTTTCTCCTGTGTAGTAGCCTAGCTATCCTGGTCACTTTGTAGGCCAGGCTAGCCTCAGACTCACAGAGATCCCCCTGCCTGTGCCTTCCAGGTATTGGGTGGGATTAAATTTGTGTTCCACTGCCATTCAGCTCTTTATTCATGTTTTGACAACTGCAAATATATTTTTTATTCCTTTTTAAATATTCAGGAAAAGGGGGAAGGGGCCCTGGAGAGATGAGTTAGCGGTTATGGGCTTGAACTTTTCCGGAGGATCAGAGTTCAGTTCCCAGTACCCATATCACGTGGCTCAGAGCCATCTGTAACTCCAACTCCAGAGCACCTGACTCCTCTAGCTTGCACAGGCACTTGTGTCTGATCTAGAGCCCAGTACAGAGTCACCTACTATTTTTGATTGTCACGTCCTGAAAGGCATTTAAAATTATCTTATAATAAGTGAAAAATAGTACATTTATTCATTTATTTCTCAAACCTAGAAAGTAAAAGCTGCAAGTACAGGAGGGGGCAGATTTCCAGTGATAGACTTGAGAAGGCAAGAGAAGATGCCATGTAGCCGTGGTAGGTTGACCTTTGCCCCCAGTGTCCTCAGTTGGGAGAGCAGGGCAGGAAGAGTTGGTAGTTGGTGCAGCCTGCAGAAAATTCTCTCGATTGCCTTTTTCTTTATGTGTATGTGCTTGTGTGTGTATATACATGTGTGTAGGCTGCCCACAGAACCCAGAAGTGGGCACTAGCTCCCCTGGCGCTGTAGTTACAAGTGGTTGTGAGACACCCAGCATGGGTGCCCATGTATGAATCAGCACTCACTCTTAATCACGGAGCTGTCTCTCTAGCCTGCTGCTTTAGTTTTTGGGGGACTAGGGAGGATGGTATTCACCGAAGAGACTGGAAGGAAGAGGTGTTATAGATTTAGAAAAAGAAGATATGAAATCTTCATTTATCTTCAAACCAGGGCCTGTGTTACGTGTGCAGATATATGAGACCTTCTCATGGGTGCGCAGGATACTCTTAAAGGGACACTGTTGTCAACCCTCACCTTTACAGGCACACCTTCAGGAAACGTACAAGAAAGGCCTCTTGATAGGCATCCCCCTACTTTCAAAGAAAAGGCAGACCTACATTCATTCTAAATTGGAATTTACTGTATTATACCCCAAAGGTCCTTGTTTTTTGTCTTTTGATTTTGTGTGTGTGTGTGTGTGTGTGTGTGTGTGTGTGTGTGTGTGTGAATTGTCTGTGTGCTATGTATGTGTCTTGCAACCTCAAAGACCAGAAGAGGGCGGTGGACCCCTGGAACTAGAGTTACAGATGGTTTTGAGCTACCTTGTGGGTGCTGGGAAATGAACTCAGGTCCTCTGCAAGAGGAACAACCATTGAGATATTTCTCCAGCCCCTTCATTATTCCCTTCTTAGGACAACATTTTTATGATTCACAGTTGCATAGAACTGTCACAGGCATTTAAAACAGAGTAGCCATTGACTTTGCTTCCTTGTATATTTAGGAACAATTTCATGTCTCTCCTCAGTTACTTCACCAGCCCAGCTCAGCTCTAGTTCAAAAGCGTTCTTGAATCCCATCATGTAATTGCAAATGACTTTTAACAACTGTTTTATTTTTTTATTTGTAGCTTCTTTTTTTCCCCCCAAGTTTGTTTTGTTTTGTTTGTGGCAGGATATCATGTAGTCCAGGTTGGCCTCAGGCTCCCTGTGTGGCTATGGATGGCCTTGAACTCCCGATCTGGTCTTTTCAGGCTTGGTCACGGTGGCAAGAACAGCTTCTAAATAGGCACCGGGAGAGAAGGAAAGTGATCACTGCTGTGCGACACCATCAGCGCTGTCAGAAGCAGAGGTCTTTGAAGGCTTGGCTTAAATACCTCCACATCTGCAGAGTAAAGCGGTGGCACAATGGTGAGTAGGAAGCCTAGGCTCCTGGCCAGGCCTCATCAGTTCACTCTCCCACTGCCCCTGGCCCTTCAAGAAGAGGAATTGCACAGTTTTGATGACAAGAAATTCAGAAGAAAAGTACATTGTTCTGGGTTCTCATTTATTTCCATTTGGCTTTTATTTCCTGCTCTTTTCTTTTTTAAAAAATTTATTTATTTACTATATACTATATATACTATATATATATATCATATAAATACTATATACACATATATAGTATATACTAGTATGTATATATAGTATATATTACTAATTATATATGATATACTACATGATAAATAATGTATATATGATAATATATATTATATATTTTATATAATGTGTGTGTGTGTGTGTGCGCGCGCGTGTGTGCTCTGTCTTCTTGCACACTGGAAGAGAGAATCAAATTCCATACAGATGGCTGTGAGCCACCATGTGGTTGCTGGGAATTGAACCTAGGACGTCTAGAAGAGCAGTCAGCGCTGGTAACCATTGAGCTGTCTCTGGAGCCCCCATTTTGGCTGAACATGCTTAACTTTTATTCAGATTGTCTTAATACAGTATGATTACTACATGTATTATATTTCAGATGGGGCTGTCCATATTGTGATGAGTAGGACGATATCTGCAGCTTTGACTGTTCTTGTCTTACCACTGTAGTACATCTGTATCAAGAATGCTAGTTTTAGAGATCATTTGTAATTTTAGAATGACTTGCCTTTTTGTCTTTATTAATACAGTATTTATCGATTTTGTTTTTCAGAACAGGGTTTCTCTGTATAATGAGGGTCCTGGCTGCCCTGGACTCACTTTGTAGATCAGGCTGGCCCTGAACCCACAGAGATCCGACTGCCCTTGCCTCCTGAGTGCTGGGATTAAAGGTGTGCATCACCATGCCCAGCAATACAGGATTTATTAATCTTCTTTCCCCCTGTCAAACCCTGAGCCAACCACTTTCCAGACTTCCTGGGAAGGTACAGGAAAAGGAACATACATGATAGAGAAGACATGGGAGGAAGGACTGTGGCAGGTGGAGGTGGAGGCAGCTGCTTCTCATGTTGAAGAGGATGAGAAAAGCCACCTTTAGTCAAAAGAGCCCCATGGCCTCTGAGAGGGCAAAGCTTAGAATCACATGCGACGTGGGCTGTTGCTTCAGAGAAGGGTTTCTGGCATAACCAGTACTGAGACTCCCCAGAGGGTCCCAGTTCAGCCCAGAGCCAGCTGCCTCAACTCTGGCAGCCCAGCCGAAATGAAATGAACTCAGCTGCTGTGAGTGAGCGTGGGATGGGATGGGGTTCTGCCAAGCCCAGGCTCTTGGACATCTTGTACATCTTGTCTCTGGTTCAACAGCTCTTGAGCTAGAGATTAACTTCATAGCTGAGTTCAGGAGTTAGCAGAGGTGAACTTGGAGCAGACATACAATTTTCAGGGCTAAGGGGCTGAGGCAGGAGAACTGCTGCAAGCAAAGATAAGATAGATGTTTTTATTTTTATTATTTATTTATTTATTTGTTTATTTTTGAGATAGGGTATTACCATGTAATGCTGAGGGGTCTCACTGAGTGGTCCTCACTGGCCTTGAGCTCTCAGAGACTTGTCTGCCTCTGTCTTCCGGAGCGCTGGGATTGAAGGTGTGTACCACCGTGCCCAGCTGGGTCACATCCTTACCTTTACTTAGTTAGGCATTTCCTGTTGCTAGATACTTGACCTGGACCAGCAGGGTGTTCTTCAGTGACAGGGTCCTAGGTGAGAAGTGGCCCGGAGATGAGAAAATAAAGAAGCTAGAATAGGTGGGGTCAGGAGGGCTTGTACAAGCTGTGTGTCATGCCAAGCAAACTTATTAGGAAGCGCAGCATCTTATATACTGGTTTCATGGGAGAACTAGGACAAAGGCAGCAGAAACTGTCACATAATGGGACTAATTGAGAAGCTGACAAGCAGTGTTGCACAAGGGCAGCACAGGCTATGTTAGGAGCATCAGGGGTGAAGCACACAGTTGCCTTGGGACTGTTGATCACAGCCCTGTATGGTGGGAAGAGTTGGGTTCTCAGTATCTGGAGCCATAGCTCCCACAGGTCTTGTCTGGCTCTGTCAATTATGTTTCTGGTTTTAGACAAGGAGCTGTACTCCTTCTTGGTACATCATTGCCTCAGGGAAAGCCTGGGATCAGCACAGCCCTCAACAGATAAGTGGATTGTTTTCATTTGTCGTCCCTTATGCAAAGGCATATTATTTGTGATACTGAAATTTTTTTGAATATGTTTTTAAGTGAAAAGGAAAGAAAAAATTTAACTTGTCACAGATTCTGTGAAAAGTTTGGCACTGTGAGATTCTCACAGTCGCCGTTTTTGGGGTTTAGATTCTCTGGTTGTTTTAGGATTGCTGTTGAGGGCTAGATTGACCCAAGGCTTTCACTTCTTCTGTAAAACAAGGATTATGTTTGGCATAAGACATAGCACAGACAAGACCTCCTGACCTCAGGTTTTCTATCTTCTTTATCTTCTCATCTCCTGGCCTCCCTCTTAGGACCCTGTCACTGAGAACAGCCTGTTGGCCCAGGTTACCCTAGGAGCATGATCACTGATGCTTTTTGCAAGCAAGCTTATTGAGTGTGCAGAGAAATGACTCACACGCTGGGCCAGACTCTAGATTAGGCTCTCAGGCTTTTGTCCATTTGAATCCCATTTACCTCCTAACCAACACTGTCTAGGCAACTTCCCTGTGTCTGTTGGAGCTTAGTGGTGGTAGACCAAGTCTACCGTTGCCCAAGGCTGGAAGGCAAATGCCTTTGGCTTTTGGGCTATTCGGCATGATGAGCTTTACTCATGCCCCTCCAGCTACAGTCTGGTTGGAGGTCTCAGTTCACCAGCTATCAGGTGATTAGCGTTGGAAGGATATGTAGCTGGCAGCTAGAGTCAGCACGGCTGAAAGCTCAGGAGGTCCTTTGCCAGCATGCTAACTGGAGTGGTGTGTCCTGGAGACTGAGCCCACCAGGAACCATCCTCCTCGAGGCAGAAATCAAACAGTGTCTTTGCTAGTGTTGGTCACCATTCCTGCTTACCAGCAGCTAACTAGAAGCCTCACGCCTTCTGGAGAAATTTTTGTTTTGTTTTTTGAGACAGGGTTTCTCTGTGGGTAGTCCTGCCTGTCCTAGAACTTGCTCTGTAGACCAGGCTGGCCACGAACTCACAGAGATTTGCCTGCCTCTGCTTCCCAAGTGTTGGGATTGAAAGTGTGTGCCACCACTGCCCAACCGGGGAGACAGTGTTTGTAAGATTTTTTTTTTTTTATGTATATGAGTATGCTCTCTGCATGTACACCTGTATGCCAGTAGAGGACATCAGATGTCATTATAGATGGTTGTGAGCCACCATGTGGTTACAGGGAATTGAACCCAGGACCTCTGGAAGAGTAGACAGTCCTCTGAACCACTGAGCCATCTCTCCAGCCTGGGAGACAATTTTTTATTGCATCTTTGTCTTTTAGTTTGGTCCTGTTGCTGTTGTGGAGCTATGACCAAACCAACTTGGAGAAAGTGTTTGTTTGGCTTAGAGATTACAGTCTATTGTCAAGTGAAGTCCAGGCACCTGCAGGGTGTAGATCTAGAGTCGAAACTATGGAGAGATGCTGCCTCCTGGCTTGCCTCCTTCCCTCTCTCTCCCTCATTTACCTTTCTAAAATAAGGCCCAGACCCACCTGTCCCAGGACCACCCACAGTGGACCGGGCCCTCCTGTATCAATCATTTACCAATTAAGAAAAAAAAGCCTCACAGATATGCCACAGCCCAAGTTGATGGAGACAATCAACCAATTCCCTCTTCTCAGATGTCTGAAGTTGACAACCAGGATTAGCCATCACACTTCCCTAAAATGACAGGCCTTTTTTGATGGAGAGAGAAATAACTCAAGAAGACGTCCCAGTGACCTAGTGTCTAGACAACTCTTTTGTGTTGTGGTGTTTGGGGTGGAAGTGTATGGGTCCTCACAGAGTCTAAGCACATACTATCATTGAGCTACGTTGTCAGCCTAAAACCTTTAATAAGGATTGTCTGTTGGAGTTCTCTTGAATCCCTGCTTTCTGCCAGCAAGTGGGGCCCAGCCTTTGTGTTCATTCCCTGCTGGGCGAGCAGCACCTAAGAGTTGTTTCTCTGTTGCAGAGATGGCTGTACAATTCCACCGTGTCACTCTGCTCCAGATGCATTTCTGTGACTGGCAGTGGGCCTGGGAGTGGAGGCAGAGCTTGTCTGCCCACCAGGCTCTGGTGGCGAAGCTGGCCAGGAAGCTGGCCCTGCGGAGGGCCTTTGCACACTGGAAGCACTGTATCCTTCTTTGGCTCTGCCTGTCCATCTCCCAGGACGTTCTCAATGGGAGGCTCTGGATGCCTTAGATACCCATCCTTGCATTGTCCATTTAAGTCTTGGTTTGTATTGGACTTCAGCTTCATTTCTTGTGTATTGTGTGCTAGGTAGGTGTCTGTTCCTGTAATACCATGACCAACAGTCACTTGGGGAGAAAAGGGTCTATTTCATCTGACAGTGTATACTCTTACCATGAAGGGGAGGCAGGGTAGGAACTCAAGTCAGGAACTGATACTTGCTGGTTTTCTCAGCCTGTTTTTTTTTTTTTTTTTTTTTTTTCCTGCTTTTTGAGACAGGGTTTCTCTGTGTAGCCTTGGCTGTCCTAGACTCACTTTGTAGACCAGGCTGGCCTTAAACTCATAGAGATCCACCTGCCTCTTCCTCCCTGAGTGCTGGGATTACAGGTATACACCTCTGCACCTGGCTCAACCTACTTTTTTTTTTTTTTTTTTAAGATTTATTTATTTATCTATCTGCATTTACCTGCTGGCAGAAGAGGGAATCAGTTCACAATAAAAATGGTTGTGAGCTACCATGTGCTTGCTGGGAATTGAACTCAGGACCTCTGGAAGACCAGACAGTGCTCTTAACCACTGAACCACCTCTTCAGCTTCCTCAACCTTCTTGTTAAACAATCCAGGACCACATGCCCAGTCGTGTCACCACCCACAGTGAGCTGCCCCCCCCCCCTTACCTCAGTCATTAAATCAAGAAAATGTCCCACAGACTTATCTGCAGGCTAGTTTGATGGAGGCATTTTCTCAGGTGAGAGTCCTTCTCAAATAATTCTGGTTGTGTCAAACTCACAAAAAACCTAATCACATGAGGGACACCCAAAGACTCATAGTATTCATTGTTCAAAGAGATATGAAAATAGGTCTTGACAGCATGGTGTGCTGGTGCTTCTAAAGGTGGACATCAGAGCTGTGTCTGTGTGCCCAGTGCTCAGGAGCAGAGAGGCAGAGGTTCTTAATGCAAGCACAGCATGACTACACTTCCAGACCATCCACACTCTTTCTAAGACTTGTTTGTTTGTTTGTTTGTAAAAGGTTTCTGTCATCCCAGGAGGTTCAGGCAAGGAAGAAACATCTTAAGCTGAAGAAAAGCCCTAGATGACTGCAAGTTCCCCTGGCAGGGTCTGGGTATTTACACAGATTTACTGATGAGAAGACAGATGTTCAAGAATATGTGGTAGGGGGTAGAGAGATGGCTCAGCAGTTAAGAGCCCTGGCTGCTCTTCCTGAGGACCCAGGTTCAATTTCTAGCACCTGTCTGTAGCTCCAGTTCCAGTTCTGATACCCGAATACAGACATTCACTCAGGCAAAACACCAATGACCATAAAATAAAAATAAATTAAATATTTTAAAGGCAAATGTGGTGGCTAGGTGGCACAGGCCTGCAGACTCAGGCAGATCTCTGTGAGCCAGTCTGGTCTACGTAATGAGTTCCAGACCAGCCAGGGCTACATAGTGAGACCCTGTCTCAAAAGAACAAAAGAATACAAAATTAGTTGGTGAGTGCGGCTCTCTGGAGTGTCACTGTGGGCTGGGGACCTTCCATAGAGCTCTGTGTGCTACACTCAGAGACTCACCCTTTACCTAGATGGCACCTGCGGCTTCCTAAAAGTTCCTAAGAATCAATGTGCCTGAATTTGTGCTTTAGAAAAGGTGTTTCTGTGAGGTAGCTTGCTGCCAAACCTCATGACCTGAATTTGAGCCTAGGAATCCACTTGGCAATAGGAAAGAACAGGTTCTCCTCTCATCTTCAACCATGGCACATGCATACACATGTTTTTAAGCAAAATCCCAAACGTTTGATTTTACCAGTAAAGACTCAGGAGCAGATGATGGGGTGAAAGCCTGCCAGCTCAGAGAGGCACCTTCCTACTCATCTGATGTCCTAGAAGGAAAAAGCCTCTTCTCCTTCACGCTGTCTTAATAACCCTTCAAGCTGAATGCCCCTCCTCCTTTCTACTTTCTCTCTAGTTGTCCTCCAGACTTCCTTTCCCTCTCTTTATCCGATATTCGCTCCCTACCAACTGGTTGCATGCTCTGCCACTTGACCTAATGCTGATTTTATTTAATCCTGTTTACTATATTAAGCTCTTGGACTAAAGGTGTGTGCTAGGGCTGAGCCACACCATAACTAGAAACAGTTTTTTCCAGTACACAATCTCGGAGTTCACAGTGTGATCAAATATCCTGCAACACACGCAAACACAGATAAATGTAATTTGAAAATTTTAAAAAGAGAAGATGGGGGATTGAAGAGATGGATCAGCGGTGAGAGGCACTGTATGCTTTTCCAAAGGACCCAGGTTCAGTCCTCAGCACTGACACGGCAGCTCACAGCTGTCTGTAACTCCCGTTCCAAGTGATCTGGCACCTTCATACTAATGCACATAATATAAAATTAAATTCTTTTTAAAAATTTAAAAAGGAAGAGAAGATGGTCCTAGATTAGAGGATTGAGGCCAGCCTCGTGCAGAGTCATGTGAGGGATAAGTCAGATGATTGGACAGAAGAGAAGCAACCTGAGAGGGGACATTCAGGAGTGGAGCAGAGAGATGGTTGGTAGCAGAGTACGTGAGGATTGTAGGATGAGAAAAGATCTGACAGTAACTGAAGCTTCCAGCTCAGTCATCTGACTAGACCGTGGTCCCAAACAAGTTCTGCTTGCTGATTCCAAATGCTTATAGAAATCGGTGGCAAGGTATCTCAGGCACTTTATTTTTTAAAAAATTATTTTATTTCATGTGCATTAGTGTGAAGGTGTCAGACCCCTTAGAATTGGAGATACAGATAGTTACAAGCTGCCATGTGGGTACTGGGAACCTGGCTCCTTTGGAAGAGCAGACAGTGCTCGTAACCACTGAGCCATCTCTCCAGCCCTGTCTCAGGCACTTTCTGCCTTCATCAAATGGGCATTAAGAGGAGACAGGCATGACCTGGCTCTTTGATAGAACTTCCGTGTGCTTCCCTGGATCACTAGGAGGAGACAGGTAGCTATCAGACAGACTGCCTAGCAGGCCTGTGATGCTTAGAGCCATGCCCCTTGGCTGGTTCCCAGGGAGTATGCATTCGTGTTGTGTCGGTACAGGAACCTTGTTTGACTGGAGGCCTTAACTTCCTGGCAGACATGCTGTTACAGGCAGAAGAGGCTGCCCAGCTAGAGGCCGCAGAAGAACACCACCAGCACTACCTGCTGGTAAGAGTGCTCATACTAGCCTGCCCCCTACTGGCCCCGGCATGCAGCCAGTCCCGAGTGAGCTGAGTGAGCTGTGTTTGCATTTTGAAACTTCAAGAGTAATGGGTGGAGTAGGGGATTTGGTGGGGTTAAGGAACCTTAGAGGGGATCTGAGCCTGGGGTTCTCACACAGTGGCCCTTTGAGAGGCAGAGACCTAACGTGTAACCCAGATCAAAGTCTTGATCCTAAACCTGAATCAAGGTCTGGGGAGTTGGTTCCTCTTTTGTGGGCTGCTGCTCCCCCAGGAGCTGGTCTTCAGAGGGTTTTAGGAGCCTCTGGTGCTCCACTGAACACAGTATGAACCCCTAACCCTGTCTGACCTCTCCACTCTGGCGACTTGCTTAGGTGGTGTGTTTATGATTGGCCACAGGATCGGGAGTATGGCCCGGAGGACTCTGTCCTAGTGTCTTTTTTCTGTTGCTGTGATAAAATATTCCAGTAAAAGCAACTCAGAGATAAAAGGAATTCATTGAAACACAGCTGAAGTCTGTCAAGGCAGCAGAGCCCTGAAACAATTGGTCACATTGCTTATCTCTCCTTCTCTGCTTGTGCAGTCCTAGAATGAGGTGGGTCTTTCCCTGTGAAGACAATGAAGACATTTTTCAAGTGGCAGGACTGGCACCCATCTCCCAAACAACTCTAGATTCTGTCAAGTTGACAATGAGTACCAGCCATCACAGATTCGTCTTCGTTCATTCTGGAAAAAAACACTTATAATCATGTAAATGTATATATACAGCAACACTTAGGTGGTTCCCAAGTCTGGGACTGAGGCGTGTTTCTTTTTCGTAAGGATCATATGGAGTCCCCTGGTCAGAGGCAAGGCTGTGTGAAGCTAGTGTAACCAAGAGCCTGCTGGGTAGGCCAGCTTCTGTTAGGTGCACAGAAGAGAAATTGCAGAGAAATGGGGCAGGCCCTGAACCATACTGGCTTCTGATGATCCGTTGATGTTTTCCCTGTCCATATTTGACAGATTCTCCTTCTGTATAATATACACATATATATTAACCCCTTGTGTCGTTTCCATGTGTAGTATTCTTGCTTTAGAGCCTTAAAAGAAAATGTGATGCAGGCCCGACACCAGCGAATGAGAAGGAACCTTGCCCACCAGCTACATGATACTGCGGTGAGAGTCCTTCCCTCCCAAGCAGGGCCTTACCTGTGGTCAGCTCAGGCTAGCCTCAGACTCACTGTGTAGTCCGGGCTGGTATGAATTCAGGCCTGGAATTAGGTGTGCACGCCTCTGTTTGGCACTTCACTTAGACTCCAGAATAATGATGCTTGTTTTCTCTGTTAATCTGTACCTGCTAACAGAGAACTCTGTTTTAGCCTACCTACCCAATCCCACTCAGTTTGCTAAGAAAATCAGTTCTTGACTCAGCTGTTAGGGACCATGGCTTTTCACCCTGACCCAGGATATCTCTACATAACACAAACCCTGCTGAGTCTTGTGTTTGCGAGGTTGTTTGTTTCCATCATAGTCAGTCTTCAATGGTTTCTTTATCAAGGGCAATGGCTCTCCTCAATGGTTTTGTTTCTGAATGTAAATTTCCTTTCCTTTTTTTTTTTTTATGATTAAACACACAGTATACCTAGACTTAACATTCATTAATATTTGCTTCAAATTTTCCCCCAAATAATTTCAAAGTTATAAATACCTAAGCACTTCAGAATGCATCACCCCCAGACAAGCAGTTTTACACACAGGATCTTTATAATCTTGACAAAATTAGCAGTTTCTAACACCATCCAGGTCATTTTCGGATTTTCTCAATTGTCCCTCAAATAGTTAGTGCATGCCTTATTGTTAACCCCTCCTTTGCTTGTCTGAAGACTCTTGTGTAGCCCAGATGGTCTCCATTGTCTATCTTTCTGCCTTTGCTCCTCATCTGCCCTCCCCCCAGCGTCCTCCACTTCCCATCTCCTCACCCCCACCCCATTTTAATGTCTCCTCAGCATCTGATCTAGAGCACCATTCCCCCAGACATACTGTCCTCGTTCTAATTAAGAAGTCTCGGAATCTCTGGGGCTGGAGTCTCAGGCTGTTGTGAACCACCTGATGTGGGTGCTGGGAACCAAACTGTTGTCTTTTAAAAGTGCACTTAACTGCTGATTCATCTCTCCTAGTTTTCTATTTTTGAACTGTAGCAAAACACGCATAAAAGTTGTAATTTTTTAAAAAATAGTTCATTTGTTTATGTATGTAAGCATGTGTGCAGTAGGGGGTTGGCCGGGCGGGAGGAGGGGCTCAGAAGCTGCCGGCTCTCTGCTTCTACTGCGCAGGTTTCGATTTAACTCCGATAGCTCAGGCTGGTGTGACAAGTGTCTTTACCCACTTCAACATCTTGCCAGAACAAAAATTTATTATCTTGATAGCAAGTTCTAGGCCAGCCAGGGCTTCACTGATTCTATTTCAAATCACAGACAAACAAAACTACACTGTCCCCATTAAATACCAACTCCATTGTCCTTTACCCTCAGCTGTTGGCAGCTGCTATTCTACTTTCTGTCTCTGTCAATTTGACTGTTTTGGAGACTTCGAAGGAAAATCATACACTGTTTGTTCTTTTGTGGCTGGCTTATTTCACTTAGCATAATGTATACCTTTTTCTTGACAGTGGCATTGCCCTTTGAAGAGGCCAGGCTAGGTCATTCTAAATACAAGTGTTCCTTTTTGATGCCATTTATTCTGTGTAGTTCTTATAAACTAGACACTAGACTCAGAGGCTTAGCCATGGAAATTAAGCACTTTGACAGCTATTTCCTAGGTGGCAATAAATGATGAGTTTTAGTTTCTAAAATGACTTTGAAAAGTGGTTATGGTCTGCTGAGCAAGATAGAAGAATATGAGATGGAGGCAGGAGGATCATAAATTTAAGCCTGGGCTACACAGTAAGACCCTGCCTCAGCAACAACAACAAGAAAGTCTTCTATAATACCCAGACTTTCTGTTTTCATGTGCGTGTCTACTTACTAGAAACGCCTTTTCTACTGGCCCAGAACATGGCTCTTCAGACCAGCTGCTGTGAGTAGCTGCTCCAGAGTGGGGCAGAGCTTCTGCAGGGACGCATAGTGCTTGGGGTCAGGGCTTACGCTGAGAGGCCTTCTCTCCCTCCACTGTCATAAATTTGTCTTCTTCCTGTCTTTCTGCAGCTGCTTCACAGGTTCTGGAATCTCTGGCAGACCCGGATGGAGCAGAGGGAGGAGAGGGTGCAGCCGCCCTCGCTGCACGCAGCCCAGAACCACTACAGGTAGGAGCGGCTTCACCCTCGGCCCTCGGGAAACCTGGTGCTTTTGATGGAGGGTTTTCCAGGAGCAGGTGGTTACCCTGGCGGGAGTTAGTGCCACAGGCGCAGTGAGACCTTTTAGCCAAGTGTGGACTGTACCCTTAATCCCAGTACTCCAGTCTCCACAGCAAGTTTCAGGACGGTGAGACTTGGGTGCATATTTGCTGGCATCTTCTCTTGCACACACATCATAACACTCTTTGACACACTTCACAGGACTGTCACCTGGAACAGAACACAGAAAACAAGCAAGCAAGCAAGCGACAAAGCAGCCATAGTGTGGTGGAGGGCACACCCTGCAGTAATGGCCGCCGCGTGTGGTGTGCTTTTGACGGGGCACGGGGGGGGGGGGGGTGACGTGATGTAATTTGCACTGGGTCTCGACCACCTCTGTGTGTCATGTTTGGTCTCCGCTGCCTCCGTTCTTCTGCAGGCCTTTTGTTATTTGCGCGTTGTGGCTGGTGCTACAGCTCAGTAGCCAAGTGCTTGCTTAGCACAGGCAAGGTAAGTCTGAGCCGCTCCGCACTGCAGCAGAAGAGAAATTGCCCATGTTAAAGAGTCAGGCTGGGAAGATATTTGGGGCTCAGTCTGCCTGGAAGCAGGGAATGTTCTCGACTGTTGAGAGCCAGTCATCCTGTTGCATACATCTATTTTAAAGTCTATGAAGAAAAATTTTAAATAAAGAAAGTATAAAGTTAAAATGAAAGCTGCGAGGCTCTCTCCCCCTGCTGCTTAGTCCTGGGCTTTCCTACTGCCAGAGGGGTCCGTCGTGGTAACTGATGTCTTGACTAGTCCAGATTTGGAGCTTTATTTACTACAGTGCTAGGGATCCAGTGCTTTTCACATGCTGAGCAGGTATCTACCACAAACTGCACCCCCAGCTTCAGAGCATATTTTTGACGAATTAATAAAAATCCTAATATTTTGGGCTGGAGAGATGGCTCTGCATTTAAAGCACAGACCACCCTTCCAGGGGACCCAGGTTTGGTTCCCAGAACCCACATAGTGCCTGGAAACCATCTGTAACTCCAGTTCCAGACGACCCAGTGCCCTCTCTGCCCTCTCTGGGCACCGGATACACATGGTGCACACATACCTGCGGGCAAATACTTACACACATAAAACCGAAGAAGAAGGAAAAAGAGCTGACTCAAGCCAGAGTTGTCAGGGTTGTCATCGTTCTAAACCCTGGTTTACAAAACCAAGCGCACAAGCCTCACATTCAAGAGTGTCACATTGAAGGGAGGCAGAGAGGCCCTCCAATTTGGCCATAACTCCAGGAAGTTCAGGAGGTTTCCTGTCCTAAGCCTGTGCTGAGTACTTGACTTAAGTTTCCAAGTGAGTTGTCAGGGGTTGGACTATAGCTCAGATGTAGGGCACTTGCCTATCACATGTGAAACCCTGTGAAAAATCAATCAACCCACCAACCAAACCCCAAACATTTCAACCAGAACGTTGAAATTTAAAGCAAGCCAGTCTAAGATGAAGAGTTGGTATTTCATGTTAGTAAGTTCTTCACTTCCCTCTCTCTTAGGATGAAACAGTAAGCCCTTGGAGTGCCCTGAACCCTCAGGAAGTAACTGTACCCAGATCACAGTAAAATCTAACTGCTTAAAGCCTGCCAGCGCCACTCAATAGTTACTTGGTTTTCTGTGCTTTGCTCTAGGATGACAGTCCTCCGCAAGTGTGTCAGGGTGTGGTTACATTATGCGCACGGGAGACGATGCCAGCAGGTACGGAGGGCGTGGAAGCAGAGAGCTCAGCTGCCCACCAGCCGATTCACTGGCTGTGGGAAGCTGCGTGGGAAAGGCTTGTGCAGCAGATCTGGTTCTGGTCTGGAGGCTACTGTGCAAACCCAGGTGTTTCCTTCAGCCCTCACTGGTGTCAGAGTCAGCACAGCCCCCGTCCCTGCACCGTGGGAAGACAGGTGCTGATGGGAAGGAGTGCCTCTTCCCGGCCTGTTAGGTCTGTACTCACGTCCATTTGTTTTCTGAACTGCCCCTCACCCTCCTGTCATTCCCCAACATGCTGAGATTGTGGGAGTGTGCCGCCATGTCCGGCCCCCATGGAAGACACACTTACTACACACCGGCTTTGCCTTAGACCCTGTGCCTGTGCTGAGGGTACAAACCTGTGATACAAAATAGGCAGAGTTCCTGTGTCCCCCAGCCTCAAGCCAGGGTGTCAGGAAGTGTGACTTTCGGGTCACTTCTGACAGTTGGGCACAGGTGTCTGCAATGCTAAATGAAGGCTTTTTTAAAAATTCATTTGTGTGTGCATGTGAGAGGTGTGTGTGAGAGAGAGAGCAGAGATAGATAGATAGATAGATAGATAGATAGATAGATAGATAGATAGATAGATGGATGGATGGATGGATGGAGGTGCAGGTGTCCACAGAGGCTCTTAGAGATGGAGTAACAAGCTTGTTTTGAGTTGGCTTGATGTGAGTGCTAAGAACCAAGCTCATGTCCTCTGGAAGAGCAGGAATCGCTCTTAACAGCTGAGTCATCGCTTTAGCCCATAAATAGAAGATATTGATCCCTGATTGGAATTTAATAGGGATGTTGGCTCATTTTATGGGTGCCCACGTTTGCTGGTTCTGCCAGTCAGCAAGAGGAAGACACAAATTCAACTTCCTTCAGTTGATTTTGCTCTGCCCAGCCCCCGCCCCCCATCATCAGCTACGGTCCTACTGACCCTTAGGGCTGACTCTTCACAGCTGTGGGGTAGAATGGGCATGTGGAGCTAGGTGCAGAGGCCTTCTCTCTCTCATTCCTTCCTTCATGCCAGCTTCTGCCACTTAGCTGCTTCCTGAGTGTTCCGTGGGCTGCTTTCCTTGCTGTACCTCATGACCCTGTCAGCTTAGGAGCTTCCCTGCCCTTGCCTGTCACTCTACCTGTGTGGTGAATCAGAATATTAGTGTATAGTTATATGCTGATTTTTCTTTCTAGCTAGCCTATAGCTGCTGCTTCATTTGTTTATTTGTTTCTGAGACAGAGTCTTTGTAGCCCTGGCTGTCCTGCAACTCACTCTGTAGGCCAGGCTGGCCTGGAATGCAGTGGTCCTCCTGCCTCTGCCTCCTGACTTCTGGATTAAAGGCTTGAGACAGCACTCCCGGATTTTACAGTAACTTAAAAAAAAAAGATTTATTTATTATGTATACAATGTTCTGTCTGCATGTATGTCTGCATACCAGAAGAGGCCATTAGATCTCATTATAGATGGTTGGGAGCCACCATGTGGTTGCTGGGAATGGAACTCAGTACCTCTGGCAGAGCAGCTGGTGCTCTTAACCTCTGACCCATCTCTCTAGCCCCTCTACAATAACTTTAAAGTTCCTGGTTTTGGTGATTTGAATATAGTGGAGAGCATTTCCTGAGTGCTGCGTTAAAAGGAGTGCACAATCACACCTGGCTAGACTGCATCTGAAGGATCTGGCCTGCCTGTCTGAGCCTAGCACAGCACTCAGTAGTGACTGCTGGTTCATCTGCATGGATGAGCTGTCCTTGACCACATCAGAATGTTTCTGGTGGGTTATCTGGAAGCTGGGTATGATGACACAGGCCTGTAATACCAGCACCCAAGACGCAGAGATAGAAGGATTTGCTGCAAGTTCAAGGCCAGTATGAATAGTGAGGTTCAGACCAACTCAAGATACATTGTGACCGCAAAAAAGAGGAGCCTGGTGTGCGGATTCATACCCACCATCCCAGCCCTCAAGAGGATAAGAAGTTCAAGGTTACTCTTAGATACACAGCAGGTTCCAGGTCAGCCTGGGCCACACAAGACCTTGTCTCATAAAAACAAAACAAATGTAGTTTGAAAAAGAGCTCACTTGCCTGTAATTCTAGTGCTTGTGAGGTGGAGATGTGAAGATAGTAGTTCAAGGTCATCTTGGGCTACATGAGACCCTGTCTCAAGGAAACAAAGGAAATGGAGAAAAAGAGTTTCCCATGATGTCCAGGATGGTGCAGGACGAGCTCAGGCCTCTCTCATGCTGTTCTAGCTCAGCCTGCTTCTGGAGGAGAAGCCGGTCAGAGAGCAGCAGGAGCTCAACTGGCCGCTGCTCTGTATAAGCCTTTGGCCGAAAACAGCTTAAGTGACACCTGTCAGTGTGGCTATCTCGGGAGCACAGTTCTTGCTGTTTTAGGGGAAGACATGTTTATTCATTGTGAGTTTCTTTTAAAAAGGAATGTGACATGGTGCTATGTACATTTTTAAATCCCTGTACTTGGGAGGTAGGGTCAAGGCAGATCTCTGAGTCTGAGGCCAGCCTGGTCTACAGAGAGAATTCCTGGACAGCCAGGGCTACACAGAGAAACTCTGTCTTGAAAAAGAAAACAAACAAATAAACAAACAGAAAGTACTATGACCACTAATGGTTCCTGCTTGTAATTCCAGCACTCCAAGGACTGAGAGAGGATGATTTTGAGTTTCATGCTAGCCTGAGTTACATATAGTGAGTCTTGGGTCAGTCTGGAGTACTCAACAAAACCATGTTTCAAAACAACCACAACAAACCCCCCTAAAACAGCCCTGTTGGGGGTACACACCTTTAATCCCAGCCCTAAGAAGGCAGATGCAGGAGGAAGAGCTGTGTGAGTTTGAGGCCAGCCTGGTCTATAGTGAGTTCTAGGGCAGCCAGGGCTACACAGAGAGACCCTGTCTTAAAACACAAACAACAAGCAGAAGTAACGAATGGAATGGTAAAACACCGACTTGTTGCTGAATTGAGAAGGTAAGTTTATGTGTTTGTTGGACTTCTTTTTTAAGAATCTTTTTTTTTTTTTTTTTCCTTTTTCGAGATAAGGTTTCTCTGTGTAGCCTTTGTTGTCCTGGAACTCGATCTGTACACCAGGCTGGCTTTGAACTTGAAGAGATTTGCCTGCCTCTGCTTTCCAAGTGCTAGGATTTTAAAGGCATATGCCACCACAGCTGGCTTTAAGATTTTTAAAAAATTATTTACATATATGTGTATGTGAATGTCTGTGTACATGGTGCAGTGTCTTCGGAGGCCAGAAGAAGGTGTTGGATCCTCTAGAACTGGAGTTATAGACAGGTGTGAGCCACCCTGAGGGTCCTGGGTACTGAATCTGGGTCCTGCAGGAAAAGAAGTGCAGTTAAGCACAGGGCCATCCCTCTAGCCCCTAGATTGATTTGCAGAAAAATTGTTTTTAGTTATGTATATATGCATTTCCGTGTGTATGTGCACGAGTGCAGGGTCTGCGTAGGCCTGAGGAGGACCTGAAGTTACAGGGAGTGTGAGCTGCCTGCCCGAAGAAGGTGCAGGACCTACTGGGACCGGAGTTACAGAGGGCTATGAGCCATCATGTAGGTTCTGGGAGTCAAACCTGGGTGCTCTTAACTGCTAAGCCCTTTCCAGCCACCATTTGTTTGCTTGCGTTTGAGATGGGGGTCTCACTGTGTAGCCATGCCTGGACTGGCTTCAACCGTGTAGACCAGGCTGGCCTGAACTCACCATGTAAACTAGGCTGACTTTTAAACTCACAGATATCCACCTGCCTCTGCCCCTTCAGTGCCGGGATTAAAGGTGTGTGTTGACAACCCTGGCCTCATTTAAATAAACATCCGTACACATGTGTGTACTTAATAGTTTAGATATGTATCTATAGAGACGCTACCTTCAGGGAAGGATGCAGATACTTTCATGTTTCACGTTGCTTTTGTTTTTATTTATTGAGCTGGTCTATCTGTGTTGGCTCAGCTGTCCTTAAACTCACTATGTATATCAGGCTGACCTGGAACTCACAGAGATCCACCTGCCTCTGTGTTCTGAGTGTTAGGATTAAAGGCCTTCTCCACCACTCCTGACTCATGGTACATTTTTAACTTAGCAAATTGGCAAAAATCATTTTCATTCTGTTCCTCCTTGTATTGTATGAGACGCAATCTTCTCTCAAAAGAGTGTGACTCTGAGCATTCCCAAAGGCCATTGGTTATCTTAGTTACTGCAGGCCAGAGCAGATAGTCATTTCCAGCAGAGAGCACTGCCTGCTGCCTTCCACACATGGCACCAAGCCTGGCGATGGCACCAGCGGAGTCGAGTCCTCCACACGAGAGCAGCGAATTTTCACAGGTATGCCGTGCAGTTCCTACGCGTCTGCTCAGACAGCTCTGACCTAACTGCAGACTTTAGAATGCCTTGTCTTGGCTTTATTGGTTTCCTATTCCCTGGTCCCTGGTCCTCTGGGTTGTAAGGGCCTTTTGATCTCATGGAGCAGGAAAAATCAGCCAGTCCCTTTCCCGGGAACAATTTTTGGCTATCTTTATCGCAAGTGTTTTCAGAACGGCTTGTGTTTTTTGCCTCTGCTCTTGTTTCATAAGCATTATTTGAGTTTCCTGTTAGTGTTGTAATGAGAGCTTTGATGGAGCCTCACATTGTGGGAGTTCCCTAAAAGGTTGAGCTCCTGTTCGAGAAGACATGGTTTTTTGAAGTCTTAGAACAAAAGTTCTCAACCTGTGGGGCGTGACCCTTTCACAGGGGTTGCATAAGACCATTGGAAAAGACAGCTATTTACATTATGGTTCATAATGGGAGCAAACTTGCAGTTATGAAGTAGCAATAGAATAATTTTGTGGTTGGGGTCACCACAACATGAGGAACCGCATTAAAGGGTCGCAGCATTTGGGAAGTTGAGAGCCCCTGTCTTAGAACCATCATCACCCATAGAGTTAAAAATATCACAGGGTGGTGGCGGCACACATCCCAGCACTGGACAGAGCTCTGTGAGTTCAAGGCCAGACTGGTCTACATAGTGAGTTCTAGGACAGCCAGGGCTACCACAGAAAAACAAGCAAAACAAGAATGTTTTTCACTGTAAATGCTTGGCTTCTATTCAGTTTTTCTCATTTGTGTGTGTTTAGGGAGACATTACAGAAGGATGTATTTGCTCTCTGGAGGCAGAACATGTCTCAGCATCGAGAAAACCGCTTGGCCGAGAGAATGGTGTGTAGCTCTCCCTGAGTGGGTTCCTAGAGGGAGGATCCATTTTAAGCACTTACCCTAGCCCCTCCTCAGGAAGCTGGACAAACCCTGGCCAACCCTGCCAGGCTCCTGCCTGGGCTCCCGAACTGGGGAGGATTTGGACAGTGTTGTCTGATGCCAGCTCAGTTTACTGGCAGCTGCTGGTCTTTTGCTGGTCTCAGATTCTCCTCTAGCCTCTGATCGGTTCTCCTTCTGGACTCTACCGTTTTCTCCCATCCTGCCTCAGGCTATACTGCACGCAGAGCAGCAGCTTTTGCGTAGGTTCTGGTTCTCGTGGCACCAGCAGGCAGCAGCATGTCAGCAAGAGCGGGAGTGGCAAGCCATGGCCTGTGCCCACCACCACAGCGGGCTGCTCAGGAAGGCCTTCTGCCTCTGGAGGGAAAGCACCCAAGGATTTAGGACAGAGTGAGTGGCATTTCTGCTCCAGAGCTGCTTCCCCTGTGGGCCAGTTTTGCTGAATCTTCGGGTACCCACCTATAGCATGTGTCAGCTTGGAACTCTTGTATAGTGACTGTGGTCAGTGGCGGGACATTACTAGTGAACCCATTATCAGGTGGCTGGTCTCTTGCTAGTGGGCAGGATCTGGCCGTTTTAACCAGACCACAGGGCCACAATGGGGAGAGTGCATGCAGCTCATGTGTCTAGTGCAGAGACGTTTGGCCTTGAAGTCCCACGGTGCTGCCTGAAGAAGAGTTTTGAATTTCTGTGTCCTTTCCTGCGAGGGGCCCAGATCATCAGACAGCTCTTCAGAGAATCCTTCATTCCCAGAGCTCAGTGAGGATGAGAACCAGAGGTCTACACAGGGGAGGCCCCTAGTGGTCCAGACCCTGCTGAGCTTCTGCTTCCCCACAGGAGGATGGGCAGGGCCCGGGCTGCACGCTTTCACTCAGCACGGCTCCTGCGCTGGGCCTGGAGCATGTGGAGGGAGGTAAGGCTTTGGCATGGGCACAGCCTGAGTGTGGCTTTTGGACAGGTGGAACTGTTTGTCCACATGACTCAGAGCAGACAGATGGGCCCCTCTACCACACCCACCTCTGATCAAGGGCAGGAGTGAGGCTGAGCTGCCTTACTCTTGTGAGGAATTGGCTCTAGGTTGCCTGTCCTTTATGTGCCAGGCTGCTCTTATCTGAACTTACTGAATGCAAAGTTCCTGGTCTGGCCATTCATAGAAAGTCTACTAAGAGTGTAACATTGAAGCCAACACCTGTCCATCATTTTCTGTTGGGCACTTGCTCATTTGCTACCCATATGACCCCTAGGAGGTCTATATTTATAGACGAGATTGAGGCTGAGTGCGAGGCTCACGTCTTCCCTGCTCACAGAGTGTAAGATAGAGACAGTGCTGCAGTGAGCCCCACCTGGCCCTGGGCCCACACTCCCCACTCTTCCCTGTGTACAGTGCCTGGCCCTGAGGATGGAAGAGCAGCACAAACTGAGGCGTGCAGCCCAGCACAGCCAGCACGCCCTGCTTCACAGGGCTCTGCGGAAGTGGCTGGTAGGAGCCAGCTCTTTGTTCCAGGTCTCCTCACTTTGGGCCAGGGAAGGTTTCTGGAGAGGTCTTTGTTTATGTCCCTTCCCAGATGATCCGACAAGGGTCAGAACATCAGGTACCCCAGGAAGTACTGCTCGGGGTGCCAGCCTTCCTGGAAAGATGGTTTCTGTGTGAGTCCAGAGTTGGGCCTTGTGGGACATCACAATGGGGGCTGCTGCTGGCCTTCAAATGTGGGCCGTCAACCTCTCTCCACTCTGACAGCTCTGAGCATGGCAGCCACTGTGGTAAATGCACCTCTGAGGCCTTCTTGTACAGGGAGAAGTGTGGCCTTGAGTCCTCCTCATCTCCTACAGGCTTATCAGGACAGAGTGAGGAGTGTCCTACAGGAGGTGGCAGCCAGGGAGAGACAGCACAACAGGCAGCTGCTCTGGTGAGTGTCCAGTGCCTTTAGGTCTCAGGCTGAGGAAAGAGACTCCAGAGTGTGGGATGGGGGCCAGTCCTGCCTCAGGCCATGCGGGTGCCTGCCTCAGTGCCTGCTGTCCAAGGCAAGCCCTGCATCTTCTGCCACTTGAGCAGTCCCTGCTCGCTTGCCCTGTGCAGGGTAACACGGAGGGCGCTCTCGCCCAGACCGTTCACCAGAGGCTCACACAGACCCTGCCTGTGCTGTTCCGAGCAGTCTTCTCCCCACTTCATACCCAGCACTTTGTGCCTCCTGAGGGATTATTTCATCCCCACCCCTGTAGTCTCTGTCAGCTCCCAGACCATCCCTTCCAGCTGCCCTTTCTAGAGTCAGCTCCCAGCCCTCTGGGACCAGCGGTAGCTCTCACCACTGAAGGGCACTCATGCCCACCCACACTCCTTATGGTCAAGGTTCTGAAAGCACCCTTTCCTGGTTGGGCTCCTCTCCCTGTGCATTTGTTCAGCACCTGCTGTTCTGGCTGGGTACAGGCCGTGGCCCTTGTAGACTTTACACACCGTCACTCCTCTGAAGTCTCAGAGCACCAGCCGGTCCCTCAGATAGACCAGAGTGAGAAAGCAAGTAGGTGCTGGGATTCATGCGCCTCTTACTTCAGTGTGAGTCACCGGAATTGTCATCATCTGGTTATAGCCGTGTTCTTTTTATCACATATCTCCTGAGGACGCAGTGATGGCCTGGTGTGACGCTGGCGGCCTAGTGTGACACTGGCTGTCTGGTCCCACCTCGTACCTGGCACAGAGCAGACACTTAGTATCTGCTGTTGGGTGTAGACAAGAGCATGAGCTTGAGAGTCAGGAAACAGGCATGCTGAGGCACAGAGTCCTCACTCAGAAGTTGGGAAGAGTGAGTGGGGTTCAGAGAAGCCCCTCAGGCCCCTCCAAACCAGGGTGACTCTCCTCACCTGGCTCGTGTCTTTGCAGGTGGGTGTTTCGTCGCTGGAGAGAAAACACCATGGCCCGTTTAGATGGGGCCAAAAAAGCCTCTCAAGCAAGAGTCCACTACAGCAGGACTCTATGCTCCAAGGTGAGGTACAAAGTGGTCCCCAGGGAGCTTGGGGATCCCATTCCAGCCAGCACATGGTATTGGCACTTGATAAGGAACTCACAGAGTGGGTAGACAACCATCTTTCACACATGCGTGTCTGCAGGTATTTTGTTTGCACTGAATTAGGAATCACTGTTCATCAAAATGAAAACGTGTCATATAGGAAGCAAACTAGTTCTTACCAGAACCAGCGTTTTCCACCCGTGTGCAACACTAAACTCAGGTAAAGCATGGGAGAAGCTGAGATTCAGGGCCCTCGCACGAAGACTGTGCCAGATCGTACCCACGGGCTCGAAGGCTGCATGGCTCTGCAGGCTTGCTAGAAAGCACAGCACCCCAAGAAGTTTGCAATGACCCTGAACCACTCCGTCTCCTTGGCTGAGGTGGATGTTGGGATACCCTGCAGGTCCCATGCTCTAGGATGAGTGTGGTGTTGGGACACAAAACAAGGAAGTGTCCCAAACAGACACAGCTGCAGCCCCGTCCCTGAGTCTTGGCTGTTCTGGAAGGCGGCAGATTGCTGGGAGCTCTGGGTGCATAGATCTGCCTGCTGGGGAGGCAGCAGCTGCATTTGAGGGCTGGAGGCTTCTCAGAAATGCTCGTGACAGCCTGGGTGGCCTCTGCCTTGAGAAGAGATGACCAGACCTGGCTGGGTTTAATGCTGCAGAGAGAAAGAGAGAGGCAACTCAGGTGGGAATGGAGTTCATGACTATGAAGCTAGGTTTAATGCTTCATCTGGTTCCCTGGCTTTAAATGTGTTTAGTAGTGCTGGGGAGATGGCTTAGCGATAAGAGTACTGCTCACGCATGAGGACCTAAGTTCAAATCCCCAGCTCCCACATAAAAGTTAGTTATGACTGTGTATATCTGTAACCCCAGTCCTGGAATGGAATAAAAATAAGAGGATCCTGGGAACTAACTGTCTAGCCAGTCTAGCTAAAACAGAGATCTTTGGCCTCAGAGACCTTGTCTTAGGGTCATGAGATGGAGAGTGACTGAGGAAGACATTGGCTTTGTGGGCCCTCTACAGCCACACACGTACATATACATACATGCACACGATACACACCCACACTAAGGGTTTTGTATTTTGTCTTGAGATAGGGTCTTACCGTGTAGTCTATGTAGATCAGGCTGTCCTCAAACTCAGAGATACACGTCTTTGCTTTCCAAGTTCTGGGGTTAGAGATGTGCACCCACACACTAACCCACGATGGGTTTTCTACTGGGTTTCCTGTGTCAGAAAGAATTAATATGGGAGGCGGTGCTGGCGCATGCCTTTAACCCAGCACTCAGGAGGCAGAGGCAGGCAGGTCTCTGAGTGTAAGGCCAGCCTGGTCTACAGGGTGAGTTCCAGGACAGCCAGCCAGGATTGCTACACAGAGAAACCCTGTCTTGAAAAAAACAAATGAAAAGAGAGAGAGAGGGAAAGAAAAAGAACGAATTAATATAATGCTTAACAAATAATGGTTATAACTGTGTAACAACTTCGATTCTTACGGCACAGTATGAAGGTTAGACCCTCCTGATAGGGAAGTCCCAGTGTTTGACTTGTCAGACTTCCTGTGAGGGACCCAGAACCCCAGCCCAGGGCTGTGCGGATGGATGGCTGCTTCCTGGATGTGTGAGGGCCATCTCTTAACTCCTCAGTTTCACCTCATGGGGACCCATAGTGTGTCCTTGATGTCGGAATATGAAATGATCACCTCTCTTTTCCCTGCCTGTCCGTAGGTCCTGGTCCAGTGGCGGGAGATTACATCAATGCAGTTATATTACCGACAGCAGGAGGCAGCTGCCCTCAGGGAGGCCCAGAAAGCACTGGCCAGGGGTAAGGGACGCTTGTGGGAACAGTGCCGGGAGAGATAGGGACACAGGACTTCCCAAGGTTCCATGTGCGCCACAGGCTCTGCTAGTTCCTCGGACACTCCCATGACTAGGAGGCTTCAAACAAGGCCTGCTTTTTTTCAGTGTTGGAAGCAGAGGCTCTGGGGAGAATCCTTCCTTGGCTCTTCTAGCTTCTGGTTGTTGCCCTCCTTGGTGATATATATGTAGATACACACTTCACAATATATGTTACATGATTTTATTACGTGAGCTTTAAAATAATAGTACCCGAGTCATCCCTGAGATGCTGAGAAGCCTGTGCTTGTCCGTGAAGCTGGGCGCCAATACTTAAGAGTCAGCACAGAGTAGCTGGGTCTTCCTGGGGTGGGAGGCAGGGGATGACAAAGTGGTTATCAGTCTACAAGTTGGGGTGCCCCAGTAGTCCCTGTCTGGTGCTGGAAGCCCAGAAAATTCCTAGAGAGCTGTTTACCTGTTGTTCATGAAAGTTTGAAAATGCTGTTTGATTTTGCTGTGAGCATAGGAATCAGCAGCTGAAGCATCAACTGGGCTGTCTCCAAAGGACTTTTTTTTTAAATTATTTAATTATAAAGTATTCTGCCTGCATGTATATCAGAAGAGGGCACCAGATCTTGTTATAGATGGTTGTGAGCCACCATGTGGTTGCTGGGAACTGAACTCGGGACCTTTGGAAGAGCAGACAATGCTTTTAACCCCTGAGCCATCTCTCCAGCTCCCTCTGAAGGACTTCTTAAAGTGGGTAGTGGCACACAGCAGGTCCTAGGAACAAGGGACTTAGGCTGAGCAGAAAATATCATCTGCAGGAGGGGTACAATGGCATTTGTGGTTTGGTGTCTTTCTTGTTTTGTTTTGTGTGTTTTTGGGATGGAGTTTCTCTCTGTAGCTCTGGCTGTCCTGGAACACACAACATAGCCTAGGCTGGTCTTGAACTCAGTCTGCCTGCCTCTGCCTCCCAAGTGCCGGGATTAAAGGCACAAGGCTCATTGTCTTGTCTGATATTACACCTCGGGATCTCTACCATATTTTGTTAGATCTCAGGGGAAAATATCCTAAGACATAGGAATAGTTTTACAAAGTACAGATTTGTAGTTCTAGCACTCGGAAGGCAGGAAGGAGGCATTCTGGAGCAGGAAGTTCGAGGCCAGCTTGGACAACACAGGGAGAACTCTTACTCCTTTTCCTCCCTTGTCTTTGAAGATTATATAATTTCTTCTTTTCCTTCCTCCCTCGGAAACCATGTTTTGCTCTATCAAATTCAGACCTCTTTTTTCACTGTGATTATAGACACCTTCTTCATTCTGTCTAGTGTTACTTATGTTACGCATGTTTTTAGGGCTGACCATTTGGTGCTAGAGAATCAACTGGTAAGCTCTTTCCTGGGAAAGACTATTTCTCCCTCTCAGCATTTCTTAGTTTCCTAAGCAGGTCTTTGTGTAGGGCTGAGGCCTCATGGGCTTTTCCCCATCTGCGTTGACATGTCCACTAGGGCCATCTTTGTTCAGCTCACATTTGAGCAGTCATGTTGACAGCTTCTGATATTACTAGGAGACACAATCACACAGTAACCTCCCTGATCCTCTGGCTCTTAGGATCTTTTCTCCCCTTCTTCCAGAATGTTCCCGAGCCTTGGGTGTGGGTGTGTTTTATAGATGTTTCAGTTGGGTTTTGATCTGTTGTCGTTTTCTGTAATGTCCTTCTGTTGCAACAAGTTTCCTTCATGAGGGGTGAGACCCTTTACTCTTTAGGGCAAATAAATAGATAGATAGATAGATAGATAGATAGATAGATAGATAGATAGATAGATAGATAGATAGATAGATA